ATGTGCAAGAAGAATTGCTATAGGTTCTGAAGGCCAAGCCATGATAACCTACATATGTTAGGGCTGGCCGGGGCCGGTCAGCTCAATTGGTTAGATTGCAGCCTTATAACACCAAGGTCACGGGTCAGGATCACCAGAACAGCCAGACACCAACAAAAACAAAAGTTCTCTTGGCCTTTAAAAATGGAGTTACCAGATGGCCCCGGCCCCTGCAGGTCTCATGTTCCAAGAGGAGCAGCAGGACATACCCAAATACATACTTTATACACAAACACAAGGGGAGGAGATCGCCAACACGTACACCCTGGACCTGGCTTCGTGCAAAGGCACCCGTCTGAGCAGGGCGTCCGCAAAGCGTGAAGAATGGAGTGTTGGACTGGCCCCCCAGGACCGAGCCCAGGGCCAGACAAGGCTGGCATGGGGACTCCCAGAGCAGGCTCAAGGAGGGAAAGCACCAAAAACATTTAGCCCCGAGCACACAAGGGTCCAACGGGAGAACAGATGTGAACGCTCTGTACACTGTGAACTGCACAAATAGCTGTTCATTTTACCCAGCAGAGAGTGTGAGCAGAACACCTCAAGCTTGAGTAAGGGTGTGAAGAGCAGGTGGGAGTCAGCCTGGCCCAGCGAGAAGTGTAAGGCTTGAGGCCAGAGGACCTGAAGCCAAAGCCTTTCTGGAAAAGTAGGTAAAAGGACAAAAGAGAGACTGCTCAGGAAGTGCTTGGTGCAGGCTTGGTGCCTGGTGAGAACCCAGGAGAGCCGACAGCAGGGCAGTCCCATGTCACAGGGTCCACTATGGAGCAGCAGGTGTGGACCCGGAGAACCCCACCTGCGTGGAGCTGGACTAACAAAACTCCAAGGACCACTCCACTAGAATGCCTAGGACTTTCATAAGAGACTTTCAACAAACGTCTATTGAGTCCAGTCAAACTGCAGCCCGAGGGGATGGAGATGTTCTGGGTTTAGACACTGACAATGGTTGCATAGCCTCGTGATATATTAACGCCCTGAATTCCACCTTTTAAAAGGGTGCATTCTATGGTATGTCAATTATATCTCAATTGGAAAACAAAATGAAGCTTAACAGGCTGGAGCAGAGAGCACAGGTCAGTGCAGGATGGAAATGTGAAATTTAGTCAGAACCTGGCCCCTGGGCCACTTGTTTCAAAATGTCCTCACCTCTGCCCATGCTGAAGGGACTTCACGCAATCCAAGACTCACCAAAGTCTTCTGCAGACTCAGGTGGAAATAACGTGCCACCCCACTGGGAGTCAGTCACTTAGGGCTTCCCGGTACCAAGGGGACACTTTCCAGCAGGCACGTCCCACAACAGGACGAGCTGCCTGCCAAGCACTACACAGCCGCGAGCTCTAGGGCCGAGAGTCATGGCCTACAGACGCTCATCAGGCAGCCGTCCATGGGTTTCGTGTCCTGGGCGCAGGCAGGCATAGATGGTCAGAGAGGGTCACTGGGTTGCATGCAAGTTCCTCTCCTGCCCACAGCTAGCAATAATAGTAGTAGTAGCGATTGCTAATTTTTTTAGTACCCGGTATACGCTAAGTGATGCCCACAGAGTCATCTCATTTAACCTTGACAGAAACCCTATGAGATAATAATTATTACTGAGCCCATCTTACAGATTTGAAAACTGAGGCTTAAAGATGCTCATCAGTTCGGTCACATCAGAGGAATAGATTGCATGCTCCATGTCAAATATCCCAAAACAAGAGCAGTTCGCAGATGGGAAGTCAGAATTTAGGAAAGACGGTGTGGACACTGTTGTCCTCTGCCTGTGACAGTACTTTCACTTCTAGCAGTGCACATGAAACACTTTGAAAAGAAAAACTAACAAAACGTGCGTATGTTTAAAGAACAGGGAGCGTGGACCTGGGGCTGGTGCTCCTCAGAAAGTCTCTTCCTCACCCTCTCCCTGGTGTGGACTTTGATTTTTAGAGTCCTGGCTGGCATTTTTGGTAGTTACGTCGTGGTCATCATCTCAGGGTAAACGCTCTGACTCAGTCACGTGCGGTATTTCATGTGACAGTCAGCCTTTGTCGAGGATGAGCATGCCAGGAGCAGCTGTCAGGAGGTCTCACTAACTGTGCCCAAAGCACATCTGGGTCCCCTGGCCTGCTTTGTGAACTTGCCCTCCATGACCCTGGGCAGTGAGGGGCTTAGGGCTCCGGTTTATCCCTGGGCTGGATCAATAGAGCCCCAAAGGAGGCCACAAGACTGTGGAGTTTCAAGTTCCCTAAAATATATAAAACCTCTGAAAACTTTAAAACCACAGGGGACAAAAATGGGCTTCCTGACATTCACACACAAAAAAGTTAGAAATGTAGGGAGAAGTAAAAATAAGCGAAGTTTCATTAACACTCCCACGATAGCTTTTATTTTTTTAATTTTGGAACATAGGAATGTGTTCTCCATGACTTGTATTTTTTTTTTTCCTGGACATTGGTGGCCCCAGAAATAGCACTATGAGGCCCGCAGATCCTCGGGGCCACACGTGAGGACCAAGGCAATAAGGTGTCTGAGCTGAAAGTCAAACATAGGTTCTGTTGCTGTGTCACCTTCCCAATCTTCTCATAAGGAAGTGAGTGTTCTCTCTGCTCCTGTGCATTCCCCGGAGAACGTCCTGTTCCACCGCCTTCCCTACCACAAAATTGTTCTCTTTTATAAAACCTCTGAGGGGTGGGGGGCAATTTGCCCAGGATATCACCCCGGGTAGGGTAAGTGGGTGTTGCTGCTCCCAGTTAACTGCTGCTTAGAAAGGAGGATGGAAACCTCTACAAATTTTAGATCAAAACTCCATAAGGGGTAGTAAACGTTATGGCTGTTACTCAAAAATTAAAAACAGCACGGTCCATACGATCCAACAATCCCATTTCTGGGTATACACCCAAAAGAATTAAAAGCAGGGACTATAACAGACATTTGCACACCCATGTACATAGCAGCATTTTTTACAATAGCCAAAAGGTGGATGCAGACCGGATGTCTATATACCATGCTATGTGTGGACAATGGCATATAATTCAGCCTTAAAAAGGAAGGAAATTCTGGCACAGGCTACATTAATAAACCTCAAAGACAGAAGGCAGAGTGGGGGTTGCCAGGAGCTGGGATCTGGGGAACGAGGGGCATCTGCTTAGCAGGTGCAGAATTTCCGTTTGGGAAGGTGAAAAAATTCTGGAGGTGGACGGTGGTGACAGTTGCACAATAATGTGAATGTCATTCCTGCAAATGAGTTGTGCACTTAAAAATGGTTAAAATGGTAAATTTGGTGTTATGCATATTTTACTATCATCATAATAACAACTCCATAAAGGGAACCTCCAAGTGGAAACATCAGGGCCCCAATGTGAATGTCATTCCTGCAAATGAGTTGTGCACTTAAAAATGGTTAAAATGGTAAATTTGGTGTTATGCATGTTTTACTATCATCATAATAACAACTCCATAAAGGGAACCTCCAAGTGGAAACATCAGGGCCCTGAAGAGAGGAGGCCTGGCCCGGCTCCTGCATCTGTGCCTCCACTGTTAAGCTCACTCTCCAGGAATTTTAATGATCTGACACTGCTGGGAGTTTTTCACTGAAATCTTCCTGTGGCATGGTTTCTACAAGCCATTTGGCAGGGGAAGACTATAAAGATAGATAACAGTAATGGACACCTTATTCATCACTTACAAAAGTATTCATAACTAAAAGTTCTTGGAAGGGAAAAAATATTCATGTTTCTCTCATGTTTTCCCTTTTCCTCCCAGGCCTTTGCCTCTCTGGTTTCTTCCCCAGCACACATTCACTCTTTGCTATCTGGCAATTCGCTTGCCAGGTTCCTTGTCCACATTTGGAAATAAGAATTAACTTGTCGGGTCTCTCCCTACCTCAAATCCCAGGAAACTGTGAACTGGGAAGTATGTTAAAATATAAAGGCATCATGTTTCTTCTTTTATAATTAAGAACTAACTTTGGGAGATACCGGCTCCACAGGGGACACCTATCTACCTAGACAAAGTCAGGCACTAGAGAAGAGAATTCGTGGCAGTCCCGTCAAGAGAGACCCGTCCTGCCTGGCTCCTCAACCACAGCACAGCCTTTTTGTGTGCCTGGCCCCGCAATCCTGGGTCATGTGGGGGCAGCCAAGTGTGGTGGCCCAGAGCTGACATCCATGGCACGTAGAGAATGAGCTGCCCATCAGGACAGTGTTCAGAGTACAAAGAATCACCTCACAGGGGTTCCTGCTTTGGGAAGGAGACTAGAATTGTGAGGTCTCTTCCAAGTCTAAGAGTCCATTGATTTCTTTATCACTGGATTGGAAATCAATTGATCTGGAGTCCAGTAGGGGCTGCATCCCTTCCTTACTGTGTGACTTGACCACAGGCACATTCCTAACTCCTCTGAGTTCAGTTACGTCACTCGGGGGTCACAATGTATCATCTACCTACCTGCCCCTGTCTGAGGATCCCAGAAACACCACACAAGCAATACTTGGAGAAGTTTGTTATCTGTATTGCCACATGAGGCTTATTAGGATTTCCACTCTCAGAGGGCAACCGCACTGAGCAAGCCAATACCGCCAAGCAGTCCTCCCACTCACTCCAAAGGCGGGACTAGGGTCTGAGAGTGGGACTGTCGGGGGCAGGAAGCACCAAGTGTGAACTGAATATTTCTCCCCATGAATGGTGATTCTTAAGTTTGTTTCATGCCACTCTCAGGTCCTTCTGAGCTGCCTTTCAGAAGCATCTCTGGGACCTCATGAAGACTGGCTTTGTAGAAAATGTGCAGCCAGGGCTCCATTCCCAAGCAAGGCTTCCTTCCACATACAAAAAACAGGCTGCTGAATTAATGAACCACTTCTCTTATCTATTTTCCTGTTATCTAATTCTGAGAGGAAAGCTGGGAGCTGGGAGACGCAGCTCACAGCGTCTCCCTCCTGCCGGCTGAGAACAGCCTGGAATCCTGGGGCTGCGGGGCTGGGCTGCCCTTGGAGTCTGTCTCACACCGAGCCCTGAGGAGCTGCAGGGACGCTGCTCCCACTGTGGGTGAGTCCCTTCCCAGCCTTCCTGGGGACCCTCTGCAGCTGGGCTGTGGGACAGAAGACCCTTGGAACAGGGAGAGAGAGGGAAGGCCTCAGCCAGAGTGTGACTGAGGCCATGAGAGAGGCTCTCAGGCCCGTGCATGGGGAGAGAAGATGGGATTCTGCTCAGGCCGAGCCGCAGAGGCAGGGATTCCTGTCCCTCGTCCCTGCTCTGGTCCTTCCTCTCTCTGTTTCTCTTTCGTACAACTGGGAGACATTTCAGTTTCTCTGTTTCCTGGTTCCCACTCCAACAGTCGGAAATGGATGGGGATGGTTGGTCTTTCAAGAAAAAAACTATATAAATATATACCTCACCAGGAATCAAACGGACCTGACCGGGGTCACCGCGCCCTCGGCCCTTGCTCTGTCTGGCAATCCCCCATTACACTTCTCTCCCCTGGGGTCCCTGCTGCTGTCGTGTCCTCTTAAGGGCCCTATTGGAAAGTCAGGCAGACCCTTCCCGACCCATATGCTTCCTGCGGGGGGAGTCTCTGCACCCTTCCTGTTGGCTTCATTAGTTAGTGAATTGACCCCACAGCCTCCGGGACCTGGTACTTTTTTTTTTTGCCTCTCCGCAGGCTTTGTGTGTGGTTTAGTTCTTGTTTATTCTGGGACCAGGCGTGTGATGGGAAGAAGGACTGGGGGTGGGCCTTCCAGGTGTACCAGCAAATGTGTTCTTCCCGAGCCCACCGGGGGCCTCGAAGGGCCCGCCGCCTCCGCTCTGGGCTGCCTACACTTCTGCGTGCAAGTCGCACTTGCCTCTGCTTCCTGAAGTTGGGCACATGAGCTTTGAATCTTGTTTGTAGCTGAGAAGTGGAGAAAAGGGCTAAGTCCAGAGAGAAAAAGAGAGACAAAAGAAAGGCAGGGGCAGCTCTGGGAGGACAGGGTGAAGAACGAGGCGCTCAGTGTGAAGTGTGGCCTGACGACTATGCGCCAGGAGGGCCTGAGACGCCCGCGGTTGTCTGTGCCTTCTCCACGTGCTGGGAGGTTGGAAACAGACAATGACCTATTTTAACTGTGGAGCCTTAGGAGGACTGGGCCCACACTCTCCTGCAATTGGGAAGGATTTGGCGCAAAGTCTCTCGATCTCCGTGCACTTACTTAAGTATTAGCTCTGCAAAGCAGAGCGTGGAAACTGTTTGTTCTCCTCGGATATCTTTCCCTCTCCAGCGGCCCACAGGTTTCCAGCGGGGTAAATTCAAACTCTGCCCCAAAACTTACACTCCCCTGCCCAACCCCCTGGCTTCCTTACCCCTGCTAATTTTCCCCCAGAGCTAATATTCTCAACCCGCTGTATGTACTCCAAAATCAAGGAAAACTGAAAGGTTTTCAGCTGGGAAAATCAGGGAAATGCCAATCTGAATTGAGGGAAACCCTTACTGTGTAAGGCTGCTAGAATTCTGAGTTCTACCATCACAAAACTGAATTGGCGTTTTTAGTAGTAGTAGCAGCAGCAAATGTTTTGTTTCCATTAGTCTTATTTGGACAAACAGCCTAGAGTAAAGGGTATTTGAAAGTCCCACTTTATGAATTTTTTTGACAGAGCTCATTTTTAGCAACATAGACTTTGCCACAAATTTCCTTTTTCTTCTAAGAACGTGTCTCTGAAAGTGATTTTGCATTTACTAATTCCATGGGCAGGGGAAAAAATTTTAAAGACAGCTTCGCATGGTTGGTATTGAGGAAAATGTTAGTAAGTTGCTCTTTATCCCCGCTCTGTCTGTCACGCCCAATAAAATATCCATTTCAAATGGCTTTCTAATGCCGTGTTATACTTGTCGGGTGATTTACAGTGACGAAAATTATAGTTTCCGTGTGTAAAGTCCAGGGGTGTGTGAGCACTGGGACGGCAGAGAGGAGGGGGTTTCGGTCCAGGGGCAGCACCCGACTGAGAAATTCAAGCCATCAATCTCTAGTTGTCTAAACACAGCACCGAGTGGCGATTCGAGGCAATTATCCGAATAATTGGGGAGGGGGCGGCACTTTCACCTGAATTATCTAGATAAAAGTGTGACACAGGAAAATGTGGCCCTGAATGCCCTGACTCGACTCCACGGTGGCGTGAATTCAGGCGATTGTTCTATGGGTTCTTGGCCGGGGAAGGAAGGAGACGTCTCTAGGAAAGCCTGAAAGGGGCTCCTGCCGCGCAGGGTCTGGTGGCCGCAGCCCCCCTAAGGCGGTGACGGAGGGAAGCCTGAGAAGTGGCCGCCCCGCCCGAGTCTGAGAAGGGCCCGGGGAGAAAGACTTTTAAGGGCTGGGGGGGGGGAGGGGGGAGGGGTCCCCAGGTCCTGGAGCATAGCGAGCCCCAGACCCCCCCGCCCCCCCAGGCAGAGAGCTGGACGGACGTGAGAGAAATTAGAAAGAGGATGACAGTGTCACTAATTGTCCCCGATTCCCATCCCTTCGGCACTGCTGCACAGTGGACGAGCTCCTTCTGCGCTGGGTTTGGTTGGTTTCTCCTGCTCGCCGCCTGACAAGAAGACAGGCCGCCCCGCTGCCCGTGAGCGCTCGACCCGGTGGCCAGAGCCCAGGGGACACAGTCTTCCCGGGGCCATCGGGGGGCGGCGGCCGGGCGGGGGCTCCTCCTGCTCGCGGGGCTCGAGGATCCCCAGACCCCTCGGGTGCTCTCCTCGGCCCTCGAGCCCTGCCTGTCCCCGCGGGCGAGGCGAGGCTGGGGTGCTTGGAGTGGATTTCCAGCCAGCTGGCGCCTCGCGGGCCAGGTCGCCTCGGACGGGTGTCGCGCCCGCCTTGTCCCATGGCCGCAGCCCGGACCCCGGTGTGTCTGCTGGTGAGCCCCGGCCGCGGGCGGCAGGGTCCGAGCTGCCGTCAGTCGCGGGACCTCCGGCCGGTCTAGGGTCGCCCTTTGCGCCGGGGACCCCCTCGCTGAGCCCAGAATCCCCGGGCCGCTGCGCCGTCGGGTGGCTCCGGGAGAACAGCGCGTCCGTCTCGCCACGTGAGGGGCGCCCGTGGGACCCCCACGGTCCGGGCAGCGAGGCACGTGCCCCGTTTCCATCTCGTCCCAGTCGCGACCGCCTCCGTAAGGTCCCTAAACAGGCCGAAGAACACAGTAGGTGTTTCGTTAAAATGGTGACCGTTTCCCCCCAGCCGGGCGGTTCTGCTCCTCAGTGTCCCCTTCAGAGACACATCTCCCCACCCCCGCGCAGCGTGTGGCCCCGAAAGCCAGAGTCCAGCCTGCAAGGAGCAGTCCCTTCCTCCCTGGGCGAGGTTTGGAGGGACCTTGACGGCCCGGCGCGGGGCGTGCAGCTTGGGGACCGCGGGCTTGTCCAGGATCCGCCGGATCCCGAGCGTCGGCGCGCGGAGGTCCGGGAAGTGCTGTCTTTTAATCCCTTCTCCAGCTGCGCCCTTCTCGGTCTTACACAGACTCGAGGCGACCCTTCGAGGACCGCACGTCGGGGACAGGGCTGCGGCCCCGCGCAGATGCCGGCGCCGGGCCGGGCCCTCCGTCCCCGGATGCTGAGACAGGCTGTCTCTCGTCCTCCTCCCCAGCGTCCTTCCAAGGGACTCTCTTTATTCCATTAGTGCGTCCGACTTTCTCTCTCCCTCTCTCTCCGTTTCTCTCTTTCCTTTCCCAATTCTCTTCCAGAATTTCCTTTTGTTTTTTAATCAATATCCTCCCTCTTACTTTGTTCTTTTTCCGTATAATTTGTTATTTTCTACCCGGTGCCTCCCTGTTCTTGGCCGGCCGCAGACCCAGGTGACTTAGTGACTGCAGAACGCTCGCTCCCGGACACACTCTCCACCCTCAACGTTTCCTCCGCATCGGGCTCGGTCTTTTGTCACTCCGACCTGAGGTCTTCGTCCCTCATAATAAATTCGTTTTTATTAATTCGGCTGTACTACTTGCATACAGATGTTACTCGATAAAGATACCTCGCTCTGTGAATCAGAAGCCTTCCTGTTGGTGAATTATTTTGATTTCTTTAAACTACTCAGTAGCTATTTTGTTTGCCCTTAAGGAATTTCTTAAACTTCCACCTCTAAACAAATAGCACACATAAATAATTTTCCAAGGGCTGGGTGTGTACCTAACAAGATTGATTCACTCAAAAACGTGATGCAGAATTTTTAAAATGTTGTGGAAAACTTTTAAAACTGAGCCAGATAATTCATCCCGCCACACCATTTGTTATGGCTTTCCACTAACTCCAAAGATTTAACAGGAAATTGATATGGTATAAATAGATAACTTTCCTTGTTCACAGCTAAGATTTTATTTGCTTTCTGTTAGATCACAGTAGTTCTATCATAATAATGATAGAACAATTAGCCTCCCTTGTAGATAAATAATGATTCTGAGTGCTTTTTATTTGTTTTATGTAGAATGTGTTGTTAGATCATACATGAAAATTTTATTTTACATAATATTGCTGATAGATACTAGATGCTTTTTGCTTTCAGAAAATGACTGGAGACAGAAAAATTAGTTGATAAGGAAAAAATTAAGTTTTGTTCTTTAATAAAAACTTAAAACTTTACCTCTAAGGAAATTTTCTTTAAGAAACAAAATCATTAACTGGTAAAATATTGACCACAGGAAAATTCAGAAGAGAGGCCAGAAAGTCAGCTATGTCTCCTCTGCAGTGATTCTAGAACAACAGAAATTAAGATAGTTACTGCATTACTGGCCAGATGTAGTAGTCCCTGTTTGTGCAAAAACACACCCTTGATTATTGAAGGAGGGGCATCTCAGAGTGTTCCCAGTTTCTCAAAGATTGACAAGCAGAATCACAGAGTCACTGTCTTAGAACTAACTACTCCCTAGAATTCAGTAGATAGTAGCTACCCACTACACGGGGTACCTGCTGCTGCATTGAGTGCTATGTGGGCAAGGGGGAGTCTTGGGATTCACGGAAAGTTCTGGGAAGAGGTGCCAGATGGAAACAGCCTCCATGCCCTAAATTTTCTTAGCAGCTCTCAGGTCTCTCCTGCCTTCCCATGGGGCTG